CATGGTGGCGCGTGCCTGTAGTCCCAGCTACTCAGGAGGCTGAGGCAGGTGAATTGCCTGAACCCAGGAGGCGGAGGTTGCGGTGAGCCGAGATCGTGCCATCGCACTCCAGCCTGGGTAACAAGAGCGAAACTCTGTCTCAAAAAAAAAAACAAACAAAAAAAACTTTTCATAACCCAAGTAATAGCCATTAGCACCATACTAGCTTTCCTTCAACTGATTGATAAACTGAATAAAAGAAGTTTATAATCTAGCAAAAATAATAGTGAGTACATTAGACTTGGGTATACAAGATGCTTGAAACTCTAAAGCTTCTGTGAAATAATCTGATTTTTTTTTTTGTTTACCACCTTTTGTTTTGAAAGTTGTTTTAGAATTGTTGTCTAACTCCTATACCAGAAACTAGGGAAACATTATGGCCAATAAATATTAGTAAGAATTTCCAAACAGAGGCATCCTAGTTAAATTGCTCATGGCTACACAGTTTGTTTACTCACTGCTTCATTGGCTCAACAAACAGTTACTGAGATTAGAACATACAATGTACAAGGTACTATGCAAAATTAGATGATCGAGTTAAAAGATAAAAATGTTATTATTCCTTGCAAAGAACTGACAATCTAAAAGAACAGATAAATATATGGACAATAATGATTTATTATGGTAAGTATTAACATTTTAAGATTGAGATAAGCACAGGGTTTTAATCCCTGTCATAGACTAGAAAAGAAGTAGATTAGCCAGTGGCATTCTATTTTATTTTCTTTCCAATACATTGTACAGTGCCTAGCTCACAGCATGGGTTTAATTAATGTTGAATGAATTAGATGTTCAGATTAAAAGTCAACTTATACAAAATAGCTTCATCAAAATTTAGAGTCAGGGTTATTGATAAAGCTTATGTGAAACAGTCTGTAAATTATTCTGATAAACAAGAACTTTGAACAGCTTAAGTTCCTTGTAGATTTAGCCTCTATTATTTTTCATAGGAAACAGTCATCTAGAGAAAAAAAAAGCTCCTTTCTAAAAGACAAAAGGAAAAGATGACAGGAGTACTCAGGTAGCCATAGCTTTGTATCTCATTAACACTGCTCAATAAATGACTATTTCTTTAATGAATAAGTAAACAATAGATAAATTAGTGAGATGAATGGTAATATTTCCAATCTGATAGATTATTAAGGTTCTGTTCCATATAAAACCTCCCCAAACAATGGCTTTGAGGTATTTTCTAGTGAAGCAAAGACATACACACACATACAGGACCCTAGTTTAGATACAGATTTTCTTAAAATCTTCTATTATGCTAGTGAAAAATCTAGTAACATTTCTGCTAGGGACAGTCATTGAGATCTGCTCCATTTACCTAAATTAGAGAAGGATTTTCTTAGCTTCTGCCTTTTCATATTGGTGAAAATAAAAAATAAAAAAAAGAAGAAAGCTCTGTCTCTCTCAAAATGAAGCTAAAAAATATGCTGAGTATATTTTCAAACTGCATCCATTTTTATTTGCATAGCTTTAATCTTGAAAAAATCAAACTATGGATATAGAAAAAAAAAGTGACTTGAAGCCATTACTCAGATTTTTCTACTGAGAACTTCAGCTTCCTTCAATCAATACAACATTGTTTATTCTGTTATACAATGCTACTGACAACACAAAAAATGATCAATGTCATATATGTCACCTTATAATTACAAAAGAGAAATATTTTTCTATAATTAACTTCCCCAGAACAATTAAAGTTTTTTTCTATATTTGTACCTAGTTCTCTTACCTGCAGTGCAAAATTCTATAATTTCACTCCATTCAGACACAACATAATCACCATCGACTTGTTTTGAGGCAGTCTGAACTGCCACTGTATATTCAGTTCTTGGGCTTAAAAACCAGTGTCCACGGACAGTCATAGGCAAGGGAACAGCTTTTGCCACCAATTTTGTGGGAACATCCTAGGAAGGAAAGAAGGAAGAGAAAGAGAAAAATGAGGGGAGATAGGGAGAAAGAAAGGAAAGAAGGAAGGAAAGGGAGAAGGGAGGAAAGAGGGAAGGGAGAAGGAAGGAAAAAGGGAAGGAGAGGAGAGGAAGAAGTTAATTTAGCAGTATAACTTTAATCAACTGTAGACAATAGAGAAGAGCTTATTAAATTCCCGAAAATATAATTTTTCTGCTTAAAAATACTTAACAATCATTATATATAAATCTCTTATTTGCCATATGCAAAAACTAAGGCCCAACTTTATTAAGAGACATGCTTGAGGTCATATAGCTTATTAGTAACATAAATGTACTTGGATTCCAGTTTTCTTGATTTCTAGTATGGTGTTATTTTCTGTACACTATAAGCTCCTCAAAATGCAACATTCTCATAATGACAAAACTTTAAAAAACAGAGACATAACAGATAAAATTTAATAGTATTAAAAATTTTCAATAGTATTGAATATTTCAATAATTAAATATTTTATTAATATAAATATAAATCAATATTATTAAATATTTGCTTAATTTATACTACCCAATATTTTAGTAATGCGTCCCATTACTTGATATTTTATATCTTAAAGGAGAAAACACTAAAAATATGAATTTTTGCTTCACCTTCATTCAAATATAGAGTTTATGTGTCACAGAAAAGTTTAGGCATTTCTAAACAATGATTAGTAAGGTGATAAATTAAACCTGCTAGTTGAATATTCACTACATTTCCAAGGATATGGAATTCCAAATGAAGAGTGAAAAAAAGGTATCAAATCTTGAAAAATTCATCATTTAATGTTTAAAATTTAAGAGATTTCGGAGATATATTAACAAGGCAAACGTCAGCAAACAGAATATCCATCACTAGAAAGCACAATCAGAATCAGGAACTCAGGAAAAAGAATAACTGTTTAATCTGGTTCTCTCTTTCACATTTATCTGTAGTATGTATGATCCTCAGTTATCTTTAGTATGTATAATTGCACATCTAATAAAAACAAAATTTCTAGGCAAGATAAGACAGTTCCAAAGTATCTACCAATTTAAAATCTGATATCAATATTAAAAAAATAGATGAGATTCTCATCATCAGTGAAAACACTGCAACTTAAGAAAGAATGCTTAAAGCAGTTAACTTATCTTCTTTATAGATACTTCTGGAGAAGGAGATATATCAGAAAAGATATATGGCATGTGAATAAGTACCAGAATTATATGCCTAAAAACATCTAAATGTTAATAATTTTCATTCTCAAAACTAAAAAGCAAAACACAAAAAAATTCATTATCAAAACAAAAACCTGAAAGCAAAAAACAACTGACTACCTAAAGCAATTTTCAGCTCTAAAGTGTTTTTAAAATATCCTGAAGTTTATAAGCTGCATCAGATTCCTTGTTTGGCAGTTATAGAAAAAAGTGTATGCTTCATTGGAAAACTATGCACTGCCTGTAGCACCCTCTTTTGGCTATCTGTTTCTGTTACGGAAGCCATTTTACAATTCTGTACTTTGTAGAAACTGATAACAATTCAGTTCTTCTTGTCTAAATATACACAAATAAATTATGTTCAGTGGAGGACAGCCCTCTTTTTCACCCCTCCCATGAGAACTTTCATACCAGTTTATACTGGATCTACAAATAAGTCTTTTCTTTGGATTACTCTTTGAACTGGTTATAACACCTCATCGGTTTTCTCATTAATGAGTTAAATAAAATCTTTAACGTAAAATAATTTATATCTAGATGATAGTCATGATTTTACCTTTTTTGAAAATTATCTTTTAACAATAAACATGGTATTTCCTTTCTTACAAAACTTCTTAGAATGATGGGGTTTTAAAATTACATATAATTTTTATTTTTTTCAAAGCCAAGTACATCACATAAGCCATTAGTAGAATATTATTCATTCTTTTAAAATGTCCTCATACTTAGAAAGTTTTAAGATGCAAATAAGCATGAGTATTTGTTAAATTTTACCTTGTGTTTAAATTTATTGGAGTTCTTGTTCTCTTTCTTATTGAGGTCAATGAAATAGTGTGTAATGCGATCCTTTGATTTTGAATCCATTTCCCATGAAATCTTGAATGAGTCACAGGTAATATTGCTTATTTTGATGTTATGTGGTACAGGCAGTTCTTCCATCTCTGCAATGCCACTGTCTTGTGATTTATTCCCTGCAAGAAAACAATGTACAGGAAGTTAATTTCCAATTAATGGATTTTCCAGTTTGCAAGGTCGTTAGCTGAGTACCTATTTCTGAAATCATTAGTGAATCTGAGATTTCATTTTGTTCATGAAGTAATTTGAGTATCAGTGGTAGTAAAGAATGTTTATAAGGTCATATTACTAATAAAAAGCAGAGAGGACTTAGTCCTTATCGTCTTTACATTTCCCATTTACTTTTCCAATTGTTTTCAGAGTGAAAACGAAAACACGATCCACTAAACTGGTTAGGTTCCCTCTAAAAAGCCTCAAGAGCCTATTTTTTCTACATGACCAATCAACTTTTCTCTAAAGTAATATCAACGGTTTTAAGCCAGATAATTTCATAGAAATGTTGATAATGAAAGGGTCCATCCAAATGAAGGAAGCATTTCTTTAAAAGTCCATGACCAGCAGTGACAGTCTATAAAAATTACCCCTCCTCTTGCATTTTAGAAGCATTATATAAAGAAATAGCATGTAATGGTTATATTACATATACAAATAATACTGAAGACCGTTCACTTACAAGTTACTATGTCAAGGATAACTCTAGAAATCTTTTATCTATGGAATCTTGATGAATTTAAGAGCTGAAACAACAAATAAGGCTTAAAGAAAAAAGATGATTGCCATAGTGATTGATATTAAAATCTTGAAGAATTGATATGACACCTGGTTACTTTAAAGATTATCTCTATAATTCTACTTAGAGAAAATGCTAACAATTTGGCTAACAGTATCAAGCAGGATTTGATGGAACATAGGACAAAAAGAAAAAGATCTGCCAAGTTTATTTTATATATAAAAAAGACATACTAGAATCAAATTTTACTCCATTTTTTAATATGTTCCCTTTCCCCAGGCCAATATAATGTTCAATGCCTCAAAAGAGAAAAACAATTGTTATTCAAGTAAGAAAAAAATGGTAGGCCATAAATCAATTACTTAACTTGTTCCTTAAATAACAAAATGTTGATCAACAAAAAAACAACAAAGAATGTCACCTTGTGGCAATACTTTCCATTTCCAGATTAGATTGTTCTCTCCTCCCCCACATTTCCATGACAGTCATTGATATAAACCTTTTGACAGTTCCCAACTTCATTAAATCTTTGACCCATGTTGTCTCATTTCAAGCTGCGCTATAGCCAGAGGAACCCAAAGGCAATCGAAAACTAATTTCAAAATAACTTGAGTTCTTTGTTATTTGAGTACTTCTTGAGCAATACTTTTAAAAATTCTTCTTTCTTCTCCTATGTACTTTCTTCACAGTCCAGTTTCTCCACATTCCCTCTCCACAAAACTCCCAGAAAAATTACTTCTCCACCTTTACTTTCCTCCTCATCACACTGCATAGAATCCCCAAATTACTTCTAGCCTAAAGCTTTTCAAATGTTAAGAGCAGGGAAGAAATCAAGTGAAATCCTTATAATGGTGTTGGGAAAGGAAAAGGCAAAAAACACTCAAACATTAGCAATTAGTAATTTTGTACTATTTTGAAAAGTTCACATTTCAACCCATTAGTCTGTTCCACTTGTCTTTAAAACATCAGTAATATTAATGAAAAACTTTCTGAACTCCAATAGTAGAAATTTTTGTAGAATTCATCTGCATTGTAACTATGTCCATATAATTTCACAACTGAGTGAAAACATAATTGCAATTGTTATTTAGGATCATGTAGACAAAAATAAAGCTATTTTGCATTTGATTCAATTTAATAAAAACACAACTTCAATATAGCAACACTAAGATACTATTAATATTTTTTGCATTTAAACTTCCACTATTGTTATCTTCTTCAACCTTAAAGTCACAAATGATTATTTCACAGAACATAATTCCTTTTTAAAAAATTTTTCCAATTGTTACAATTTGAGAGAAAAAAATGTTACTTTTATTGTAAGCGAAAAACTTTGCTCAAATTATATTTTTCCTATGCAGAACGACATAAAGCTCAAGCCTAGAAAAGAATGAGTTATATTAAAAATCTTCATTTTCAACCTACTCATCACAAAACTACTAGATTAACTAGTTCTTAACAAACCACTAGATTAACTTCTATGTGACTTTCTTACCTAGGTAGGCCAGGTAAAAATTTAATTTAGATAAATCTTACAAGTTCACAGGTAACTTTCTTTTTCTTCACTCTCTGTGAATCAATTTTTAACTGACTGAGATTTTGAGATAAGTGATGGAAGACAATGATTCTGTTCCTAAAAACTGATGAATAACAGTTATCCACATGACACTAATAATATCAGTAACCAGCCAGTACTATCTCAGTCCTGTCAAGCATACTTCCACAAGTAGCTTCCTTTCCTTAGTAAGACTTCATCTTACAGCCAATTCTAGCTATGTTTCTCTACATGCCAATTGATTCTAACATCTGTGGTTACACTGTGGATTGGCTAAATTAAATGCAGAATGAATAAATGGTTTCATATACTTTTGTTTATCCAAAACATGAAAGTTGCTTTTGAGAACAAACATTTCAAAAGCAGTTTCTAATGACAGCAACTATTGAAATGCAAGCTGAAAACAATGCCAAATTACACTAATACTTTTTATATATAGCTCTCTTCTCATTAAACTTATCTTACAAAAGAATGATCAAATTTTTGTTAAAAAAAACAGCTTTATTGAGATATAATTCATATACTATATAATTCACTCATTCAAAGTATACGATTCAATGGTTTTTGGTGGATTCAAACTTGCGCATCCACACTCGCAAGAAGTTAAGAACATTTTCTTTACCCCAAAATAAAACCTCATGCACCTAAGCCATCATCCCTCCCACTTTGCCCACATACACACTTGACCCCTCCCTTCAGTCCTAGACAAATCAAAAATTTATTTTCTGTCTCCATAGATTTGTCTATTTTGTACATTTCATATTAAATGATATCATACAATATGTGGCCCTTTGTGACTAGCTTCTTCATATAGCATAATGTTTTTAAGCTTTATTCATGTTGTACCAGTACTTCTTTTTATTACACCACAATATTCCACTGTATGCATACACCATTCGTCAGCTGATAAACATTGGGTTATGTCCACTTTGGGGCTATTCTAAATAATGCTACTATGAACATTTGTGAATCAATTTTTGTGCCAACATGTATTTCCATTTCTTTTAGGTATATACCTAAGAGTGGAACTGCTGTGTCATATAATAATTTCTATGTTGAACTTAGGAACTATTATCTATCATTTTTTATTAAAAAGGTATCATAGTGGTTGTGTAGTGGTATCTCATTGTGGTTTTAATTTGCATTCCTCTGATAGCTAATGGTGCTGGAAATCTTTTCATGTGTTTACTGGCTATTTGTATATCTTCTTTGGAGAAATGTTTATTCAGATCCATTGCCCCTTTTTAAAAACTGAGTTGTCTTTTTATGACTAAGTTGTAATGGTCTTTTATCATCTAGATACAAGTCTATTATCAGATATATGCTTTGCAAAAATGTTCTCTCATTCTGTGGTTTGGTTTTTTTTTTTTTTGCTTTTTTAAAGCACAAAAAATTATTTTGACCAGTCCAATTTATCTATTTTTCTTTTGTTCCTCATACTTTTGGGCTTATATTTTAAGAAAACACTGCCTAACCCAAGGTCATGAAGATTTATTTTCTTCTAAGAGTCTTATAGTTTTAATTGTTACATTTAAGTTTTTAATCCATTCTGAGTTAATTTTTGTATATGGTGTGAGGTAGGGGTCCAATTTCATTGTTTTTCATATGACTATGTTGCTATCTCAGCATTGTTGAAAAGATAATATTCTTTTCTTATTTAATTGCTTTGGCACCCTTGCCAAAGTCAACTGGCCATAAATATATGGTTTATTTCTACACTTGCAATTCTGATCTCTATCCCTAATTCCAGTACTGCACCATCTTGATTACTGGACCATTGTAGTAAGTTCTGAAATCAAGAAGGGTGAGTCCTGGAACTATGTTCTTCTTTTCAAGAAAATAACATTTTGGCTATTCTGGGTCCCTTGAATTTCCATATGAATTTTAGAATCAGCTTGTCAGTTTCTGCAAAGAAGTTAGATGGAATTTTGCTAGGGTTTGAGTTGAACCTATAAATAAATGCCCTAAATAAACAAGAGTGTTTAAGGAAGCAAATTCACATTATCAATGAAGAGATCACTGCAGATTAATTCCCTTTTAAATGTCTTTCTATTGTGGAAGTTTACAAGCATACATCAAGTAGACAAAATAATACAATCAATCCCCATCTATCACCCAACTTTAAAAAACATCACTTTGCCACTTTTGTTTCATTTATTAGCTATCTGGTTTTGAATTCATTCTCCTTTTCTTAGATAAATTTTATTGTGATAGACTTTCAGACTTACAAAAAAGTTGTAAGACTAGTACTAAGAGCTCCCATATACCCTTTACCCAGCTTCTCTAGTTGGTAATGTTTTATCAAATTTTCTGTTACCTTCTCTGTCTCTCCCCCTGCCACCTCTTTCTTTCTTTCTCTCCACACATACACATATACAATTTGCTTCGGAGCCATTTGAGAGTAAACTGCCAAGAGGATGGTCCTTTATTATTAAACAGTAAAATGTGTATTTTATTAGAAAGATATTCTCTTACACAACCAAAGTACAATGATCAAAATCAGAAAATTACTATCACCCTATCATTTAATCTATGGACCTCATACTTCACTATTTGTTTTAAAAAAAATCTGTATAGCAGCAAAAACGAAGTCCCAAAACTTTGTGGTCACAGGGTGTAATTTAGCCATCATGTCTTGTTTGATCTGGAATAGTTCCTCAGTCTGTGTTTGTCTTCTATCTTTGAAAATAATTTTGTAGAATGTTCCTCCATTTGAATTTGTCTGATGTTACCTCATCATTGGGATTTTTCTTTTTTTGGCAGAAATACCATTGACATAATGTTGTGTATGTGTTAACTGGTTTCTTCCATTACTGGTGAAGTTAATGTTC